AAGTTGCACATCCAGCATAAGCCATTTGCCTGGGCTCTCCCTCCAGTCAATGGAGTGACTCCATAGAGTGACTCACTGCATCCTAAGAATAGTGTCTGAGGTAGGTGGGGTGAGTCACCCTTGGGAATTGCCTGGCTCTCTTCCTAAAGAGTTTTGCCAGACGGCTTTGATGACAAGCCTTTCTTTTAGGTGCTTAAAATTAGATGAGATGAATCCCACCTCAAAATGTTCAAACTTACTGTGGTTCTGAAACGACCAAGAGCTGCAAATTGCATGAGTATGCAAACAGCTGCTGTTTACAAGTGGCAGCCTGTACTCAACAGAGTAATAATCCTTCATGGATTTCACATGGAAGGTGGAAGGCTGCTGGAACCCCAGAACGGTGCAGTCTGTGTCCTTGCTCGGAGGCTGTGGTGAGAGGTGAGAAGCTGTTCCCTTTGCCTTTGCTCCCTGGTATGGCTCCAGTTCTGACAGCTGCTGGATTTGCATTCCTCTCATATTTCCATGTCATGCTCTTTCAGGTCTCTGTTCCCACTCAGTCTCGCCACATATGAGCTGCTAAGAGTTGCTATACCCACCTTTTTAGGTAGGTAAAGCTTACACTTCATGACCCTGAGTGCAGTGACAGGCGTGAAGACACATGGAATCTGTCACCTGTATGAAGAACTGGTGTGGGTACTGGACAGGGAGATGTGTTGGACCACCCTGTCACACAAATCAGACATGCGATCCCCTGCAGGAAGGTCACCACCAAACACTGACTCTTGATTGTGTCTGTTTCACCTAACACCCCATGGACAAATCTGCTAAAGTATTTTTGTAGCTACAACACGAAAAAATATGAAAAGGATTAATCCAGCGAAGTTTGTTTTATACCAAGCACAAGACTTGCGGAAAAATGAAGTAAACCAGGTAGAAAATAAACATTTATAGTGGATGAAATGCTCTCAGGCATGAATTCATTATCTTTCTTCTCAGGCTGTGGTCTTCTAATGAGTTAGGAATACCAGACACATGGCAGTGAAATCATCATCTGAATTAACTATATTCATGTCCAGTTTTGTCAATATTTTTTGTACAAAGACCTGTGGATGGCAGGTTATAGATCCTTTTGTGTGCTACCTGTTAAATTTTACTCCTGTCAATATTTGCACATTTAAATCAGTAGCCCTAAATGCCTCCATTTTTAGTATGCAGAGGTAATTTCTTCATAGAGGACAGAATGACACAGAGGTGTCCCTGCAATTCTGTTCTGGCAGGAAACACAGTCTGGCACAGCCATGGATAAAACCCCTGCTTTTTCAAAGAACTACCAGGATGTTTCTGGTTATCTGATTGCCTGATCAGAGGTCAGAAGGCTGGTCCCAGCAGAGATTACACAAAGTTTGGATAGTGGCTGATCAATCAATATCTGTTTATCCAGAAGGTCCCTACAGCATTTCTCTTTTTGGGGGCCTATGTGTTTGAGGACATAGGACAAATGGATTAAAAAAAGGAGACACCAGGACTATGCTCCCACATTTCCTGCTTTTCGCTGTTTCAGAGGTATTAGGAAGGGCCCAGTGCCTCTCATACAGCCCACGCCTGTCTGGAAGCATGTCTGACCCCACTCCCCCTCAAGCCATCCTGCAGGGAAAGTAGAACCACTTATTTTTAGCCTTCCTTCCAGCCAGGGATGCTGGTAAGACCCTGCTGTTTGTATTTCTTCAGTTCCCACCCTCTAAATGAGGGGGAATCAGGCTCCTGTGGTAAATATTAGGTGTATCCTAAAGGTAATCATCTGAGAAGGGTCCCCATGTGAACAAAAGGGGTTCTTCCCCATGGCAGAAGGGAGGGTCACCTCCATGGGAGGCCATTACAGGCAGTGAGAGGTGGTCCAGGGCTTCAGCAGAGCTGCACCAAAGGGCTCTCCTTACCTGTGACATCTGTGCCTGGCTGCCCCCACCTGCAGCCCTAGGAGTGCCTGTGTTGGTCCATGCAGAGTCACCCACAGCCCAGTCAGGCTCTGACTATACCCCTGCTTGGCCTCTAGCTTTACAAGGACCATTGCCTGCCGAAACTGCTCCTGCTCACCAGCCAACTGAGAAGTGCTAGCCTGATATTTACAGTGGGACTGGCTGGGTGGCTTGGGGAAGCTCCCAACTGGATGGCTGGGAAGATTGAGTACCGGGTATGAGATGAGATGCTGGAGGTCGAGGGGAGGAGATGTCACCTGTTCCTTCGGTGAAGTCCTGAGAAGGTGACACTGAGTTTTAAAATCTCTTCCCTTTTCTGACTTCACAGCTCAAAGGGATTTGTATGAAGTTACTTGCACATGATTCTGCATGAGTCAAGCAACTTGGGAGAGGAAAAAACCAACCCACAACGAGCATTCCCAAAGCCTACAAAAATGTAACACCCACTTGTAGCTGCACAAAGATAGATTTAAGCATTTTTTCATATTCGCTGTGATTCTATGACCATTAAAGCTTAGCAAGAGAGCAGAGAGGGAAAGTGAGGCTGTGTTTGCCTGCAGACAGCAAAAATAGAATGACGTTTTTGCAAACTATTTTTCTAGCCTGCCAAGAGTGATTTCTATACAATGTATGATACAGGCAAGGAATCTCCTGGTCCATTGGGCTCTGCACATCATGATACACTAGTATTAATTTCTCTGCAATAGATGATGATGGACAATGAGTGATTCATCACCTAGCTCACCTTATTTTAAGATGTTGGCTCTATGGCTGCAGAAGCCTTTGTGTTCCTCAACATCAGTTCAGTAAGCAGGATCAAAATAAACTCAGTGCCTGTATAAAAGAATCAGATTACTAACCGAGGAAAACTGCAACAGACACATGTTACAGATCTAGCACCACCTTCTATTAAGCAGGCTAAAATTATGATAATAAGCCTTTAACCTAAACTTCTTGCAAGAACTTCTAACGGCCAGTGACAATGTTGTGATTATTAAAACTTCTTTCAAGCCTGTGCTACCTGACTACCTCAGTTAAGGTTATTTTGAGGTTAGTGTGAGCAACATGTGAGCAAATTTTGGAATGGAAACCTTGGGCAAAATGGGAATAGGAATCTCCTTCTGCTTCCAGAGTGGCTGGCTGACTTCCCTGGAGGAACTTTCCAGGGGCAAGATATGGATGAGCTTGAAGAAGTCGAATACCACATACCAATAAAGAAGCAAACAATGCTCACAACTTGTCTTGCCCAATCCCTCCCCCCACTTCCTCCCTCCTTCAATCTCATGTTGGTTTTGACACTTAGATGCAGACATGAAACTGGTATATGACTTCTAGCTACAAAGACTGACAGGGTTCATGGGATTCAGTGTCAAAACTCACACTTGCTTCAGAGGAAGCAGAACTTTATCTGCACTGTAAAAGGCAGAACACAGATCATGAGTATTACACTGCTTTTGCAAGAGTATGAGATGAGCAGAACTGTCACTTTGGCCCTGTTTGACATGAGACTATTTTCAAGCCACTCAACTTCCCCCTCCAGTTCAAGACACAGGACAACTGTGAATCAGCTGAAACTACTTGCTCCCTAGTTCCCTGTAATAATACGAGCTTTTGGGTCTCATTTTCAAAGAAAACCACATATAGACAGGAAGAGTTGGCCAAGGATGCTGGTAAATAGACATCACAGACCTTATTGAAGCCTCAACAATCAAAATGCAGTTTCAAAACAACCTTTATTCTGCTTGAAGACTTATTACAATTTTTAAAGCAACTCAAAAACAAGACACAGCTCCATCAACTCTACAGCTTGAACAAAATTTCAAGGAGGCATGTTTTCACTGTTGCCTTGTAAAGGCAATTTACAACCTGCTTTACCCTCCACCTCCTCAAAGACCATTTTAAAACAAAGTAATCTTAATGTTTTAAAGACATTTAACAGAACAGAGCTTTATTTTCAAAAACAAGAATAAAAAAAATAGCAGCATCTTGGGCAGCTAATGCAATCTCATCAGGACAAGTGCAATGTAACATTACCAACTCCCACAGTTGAGTCTCAACTGCAGTAAATGCAATGATTCTACACAAAACGTTGCACTTTGGAACCTTGTCCCATGGGAGGCATTGTGCTTTGAGCTGCCCATTTCTAAAGTGACCCTGAAAGAAAAATAGTATCAGGATTCACTTTCCCAACTTAATACCATGCATAGCAAAAGCACTGTGTGAAAATCGGCAGAAGTTTTCCCCATTAGAAGCATCTGAATGTTTTCCCAAGCATTATTATTTCATTGCCAATTACAAGACAAAGCCATTTCTTCACTACAGAACAGTTGACACCAAATAGAAAATCTGAAGATTTGGTTTTACAGATTGCTTGACAAGATTTCTTAGATAACTGAACCATACAGACAAGCTTTTTTTTTTTTTTTTTTTTTTTTTTTTTTTTTTAAAGTTTTATTTTTTTTAAGAAACTATCCAACAACACAGAAACTCAGTTTTCTAAACTGTATCTGGAAACATGCTGCACCCACAAAGGTCTAAGTGTGCATGTGTGCGTCTTTAAACAAAGTTAATGATATCACTTACTGAATTCAGCAAAATGATCATGTTCGGTGAAATGCACCTAAATTGGGATCTATTAATACATAAACACAGCAAGTGTGCACGCATATGTGCAGATACATATCCCCAACCTGCAAATTTCAACTCCAGAATCTCTGAATTTTGCTTGTGGGTTTTGGTTCTCTTTGTTATGTCTCATACCTCTCAAAGGCCTTGTGAAAGAGCTGCTGAAGTGCAGCGTAACTCAGGGTTTAAAATAAAAAAAGGATATTCCCCAAGCAAATAAAAAAAAGTAACAGAATAAACCCCATCCTTGAATTATATTAGATGAAAAAACTACACATCAATAGAAATACAGAAAAATGTTGTGATTCTTCAGTTATATCCCCATGCCTTTTTTTCTGTATATAGTAGTCTGTTTGAGATCAAATCAAAACTGGAGTGAACAATATGGTACATTAAAGACAAACAACTCTGCAGTGAATAGGGCCTTTGGCAGGACTCACAGCAACTTTTCAATATCTGAAGGGCCTATGAGTGAGTTGGAGAGGGACTCTTTATTAAGAACTGCAATAGTTCTTAATAGGACAAGGGATAATGGGTTCAAATTGAAGGAGGGAAAGTTTAGGTTAGGTTA